ATTTTATTCACCGAGCGATCGATCGATCGATTACTGAAGAAATTACCTGATGTATTGATCATGACAATAACATGATCTTCTGTTCAGGACCTGACAGGAAAATTACATCAATGTGATAAAAATGTTAAAACTAATGAGTTTCATGTGAACTAATAGAAGCTGTTGATCAGAATCTCTGCTGCAAAAATATAATAAATCAGTTGATAAAGATTTAAATTTCAATGGATGATCAAGAGGCTTTTGGGGAAAGTGGAGATCTGAGAGAGAGAGAGAGAGAGAGAGAGAGAGAGAGAGAGGGAGAGAGAGAGAGGGGGAGAGAGCGAGGAGGGGCTTTCTCTCTCTTTTCTTTTTTCTGTCCAGACGCGTAAAACCAGGCAGGAAGCGCAGAGCACGAGCACGACAGAGGAAGACGAGGAGGGAAAAGAAACAGCGAGAATAAAAAGAGCAGGAGCGGGAGGAAGAAGAGGAAGAAGAAGAGGAAGAAGAAGAAGAAGGAGAAGAAGAAGAAGAAGAAGAAGCAGCAGCAGCAGCAGCAGCAGGAGGAGGAGGAGGTGGAGGACTCGGGGGCCGCTGGATGTAGCCGTTTTGCGGGTGTGTTTCGCGGGGAATGTGCGGCTCCTCCTCAGCTCCAACTTTGTGAATCTCTGCTCTCATGGTGAGAGGAGGACGCAGAGGATGGGAGTAACCTGGTCCTCCAGATGCCTCGCTCTCTTTCTAGCTCTACACATAGGTGAGTGACCAGAACTGCCATCAGTGTTATTAATATGATCGTGATTATGATTATAAATCAATCAGCAGCTGCTGGAGTCACATTTTATTTCTAGTTTTTGTTCAGAAAATTGTGTTTTTACTCGTTTCTCGTTTATTCTCGTTTGTTTAAAAGATAAAATGTCTCTGGCTTCACTGCGGCTCATTCTGAGGCACGAAGGTGTTTTATATATTTGTACTAATAATCAAAGGTTTTAAACAATCAGCTGTAATAATTATTAAGCGCCTCTAACAGCGACTTTTACATATTTTTATTTTATTAAAGGAAAAATACGTTTTTTTCTTTCAGTATTTCATCTAATTTGGTTTTTTCGAGGTTGACAAAGTTAAATTCGTTGCAGATGATAATGATAATAAAGATTATGATTTTGGATGTTGCTGCTGCCGGTGGTTTCCCTGTTGATTTGGCTCGTCATGAGGCGGCGGAGGCTCGTTTTAACGGGGCTACACTTCACATTTGGAGAGTGTGTGTGTGTGTGTGTGTGTGTGTGTGTGTGTGTGTGTGTGNCTCTGCACCTCGGTTGTCCCAAACTGGAGACATTTGCTGCGTTTTCCCACCTGTAATTTTTAAAAAATTTATTTCACATTTTAATATTAAAAATTAAAAGCTTTTATTTTGGTTTCATGTGGCTCTGATTTTATGGATGTCAGTGTTTTATTTTGGTGTGTTAGAGAAGCTGCAGAGGCGGGAAAAAGAGGCCTGTTTGAATGTCTGCACACGTTCGTTACTGTGGGAGAAAAACCTCAGAAATCTGGGTTTTAAACCGTCGAACCGGAGCCGCGTCTCTCCGGTTCTGTCGGTTCTGCAGGAGCCGCGCGGCGCGCCGCAGTGTGCGGAGCCGCAGGGAGCAGCAGCCCCGTCACACCCGCGCTGTCCCGGTGTAAAAACCCACAGCAGCCTCGTCTCCTTATTCAATTCCCCTCCGTGTTTCTGATCCGAGCTGCTGCGGAACGAAAACACAAAGACAAGGTCGAAAAAAAAAAAAAAATCCTTTATGTCCTTTATTTTCTCTGTGCACGCGCGCAACAGATGGCGTGCACCCGCCTCGTGCACGGTGCAAAATATAACCTGCATCATTTCTTTTTCTATATTTTATAATAAAACCATATAAATCGGGTTAACAGAGAGGGGGGGCCTGAGGGTTTTAAGTGCAACAGCAGGAAGAAACCTGCTCCTCCCGGACCCGTCTAATACCTGGAAGGAAGAAGATGAAGAGCTGCACATATCTGAGCTGCAACAAGAGAAATATGGAGATTGTTTTCTGCTGTTGCATTGCATAACGACGCTGTGGAGGAGGGCTCTGCACGAGCGTGCGTGTGTGCGTGTGTGTGTTATGGTGGCAGATAGAAATGCTGAATTATTCAAGACGCAGAATCCTCCTCGGTGCTATTGTTAGAGAGAGAGAGAGAGAGAGAGAGAGAGAGAGAGAGAGAGAGAGAGAGAGGTTTGATATTCACGGTCCAGAGGCTTCAGGAGTGAAATGATGATGATGATGATGATGATGATGATGATGATGATGAAAGTAGAAACAGTAGAATCCGGATGAAGATGAAGGAAAAAGAGAAAATGTGTCTGTTTCCGGTTTTCACACTGAAACGAGACAAGAATGAAAATGAGAAAAGCTGCTGAATGATTTCACACACTGATTATCACAAGGCGGGAAATCGAATGAAATCGATTAATTGGTCTGTATTTCACATACCCCCCCCCCAATTTATTAGAGTCCAGGTCAGCCTCTTGGACTCGTTCGTTCGGGTTTTGGATCCGGATCTGGTTCATCTTGTTGTTTTCGGTCTTTTCCGGTTTGGATCGTGTTTGTATTTTGTTTTATTTGAATTGCTGCAGTGTGATTGGCTGCCGGGAGCCGAGGTTTGGCGCGCTGCTGCCGCAGACTTCACACCTAAACGTCCCATCAAAAAACATCGACATTTATCTTCAAACACGTGACGTTCCCGCGGTTTATTATCATTTTAAAAACTCATTCATGTTCAGGTTTTTTCTCTGTGATGATTTAAAAACGAGTGTGATGTGTTTCACGTGATTTTATTGTTGGGATTTGGGTTTTTGAGGCATTTTTACGCGCGAAAAATGGCCTCGTGTGTCTGAGGTGGGTGTGTCTGTGGAAGCTACAACACGCTGCTTTTGGCATCGATGCACTGCAGGCAACAGTGTGTGTGTGTGTGTGTGTGTGTGTGGTAGTGGGGTGAATGAGTGCGAGCGTGCCTGATGGGAGGCGTGAAGGAAATTGCTGTGCGCGCCCCCGCTCATGTGCGTGTGATGGGACTGTCCTGGTTTCACTCAAACACAAATCAACCCGCGAGAAGACACGAAAAAGAAAATCAAATAAAAAGATGGAGGGAAGATGAAAAACTGTTCTTCAAAATAAAAAAGAAATAAAAAGATAAAATCATTTAGGGACCAAAAATAAAAAGACAGAGGAAAGAAAAAACGAATAAACGGATAAAAGACGGAGCCGCTTCTGCAGCTGTGAACAGATGATGTAAGAAAACGAAAATCAAATCGACAAATAAAATAAAAACAAAACAGAAAAAGATTTATTGATGTTTTCTTTAGAAAAGAAAGAAAAATAAAAACGAAGATTTTGCGTCTAAAAATGAAACATTTGAGTCAAAGTGAAGAATTAGAAATAAAAGTAAAATGTTAAAGCACATTACTAATAATGATCTTTATTAATAAAACATTGAAAACGCCTGAAGGAAAAACGTGTTGAAGAAATGTTCATCAATAAAATGTGAGAAAATAATAAAGAAAATGAATGAAATGCTGAAGATATTTATAAGGATGAGTGAACGGGTGAGGGGGTGGGGGGGGGTGAAGGGGTGAGGTGGTCCGCTTCATTCATGTGTTTTTGGTGACCCCGTTTGAAATTTTTTTTTTTAAATAATAATAACGTAAGCGCTGCAGAGAGAAGGCGGGAACATGTTGCAGTGATAGCAGCCAGTTAGTTTGAGATGATGTAATGCCTCCAACATACAGTGGTAGAGAGACACCAGGAAACAATGGAGAGAGAGAGAGAGAGAGAGAGAGAGAGAGGGGGGGGGGGGGGGGGGGGGTCTGACTCTCATTCATCCAGATTCAATTAGAAAAACAGAATGCAGCTATAAAGACAGTATAAAGATAATATAGGTGATTTTAAAAAAAGAATTATTATTATTATTTATTGAATTTCCCCTAGGGTATAAATACAGTATCTATCTATCTATCTATCTATCTATCTATCTATCTATCAGAAAAAAATCTATCATGTACTGAAGTTTAATAAAAAGAATATTATACAAACATTAATAAAAACATTTATTTCTCTGAAATCAGTATTAGCTCCAACGAACTCTGAGCTACATAGTCAATAAAATAACAATAAAAATAAAATATTATTACACAGATTCAATAATATATAATAATATTTAATTTAAATAGTAATATATATCTATGTTATATTACAGAGTAATTGAGATATAATCTTTGGGTTTCAAAGACATCATAAATCCCAATGGGAACATTTAGGGACGGCTGCAGCGTTACTATGGTAACTAAACAACAGTGAAGTCATATAAGGTCATTAAACTCACCACATAAACAAGTCCTGCGTGTCCCATCACAACATCTGGAAAAACAAGGTCCCGTTCAGAAAGAACCTCAACATCTGGGAAAAATGGAAAATATTATTATTATTATTATTATTATTATTATATATGTATTAGAATATTGTGATAAAAAGAAATACTGTAAGTGCATTTTACAGGAGCACAAATCTGCCATTTTTACATTTAAAATATTCATATTATTAATATATAATATTGAAATATTATGACTAAGATACAAGGTGAAAACTTCTTATTGTGTAATATAAATTGATATAAATTTTTAGACACGTATAAAATAGCAGATACAGTGTTATAATGTTATAAGAACATACATAAGGAAAGACACAGTATATTAGAGATCAATATAAACTCCATGTTATAATGAATTACCAATGGTTAATTCATGTGTCAGTTCCTGGGGCCCGTCTCCATCCTCTTGACACTTTCAAACTGAGGTACAATATGGAAAATACTGCACAGGTGTGAGGCCTGTAATGTTCCTGATGAGTCCAGGTGTAAAAACGACGTGTTTTATTTCAGGAAACGTCGAGTTTGAGGTTAAAACTTTGAGGAAACGATCATGGTCAGACCCGTCCATCCACCCCGACCTCCTCCCCCTGTGGACTCTGTCATCCTATAGGCTAAGAGTGTCACCTGACCCCCCCCCCCCCCCCACACACACACACACACACCACAGGTGATGTGTAGAGGTTCAGAGTGACACCCACCAACCTCAGCCTGATAGACAAGGTGCTACTCAGCTAAGAGCTGTAGACTGTAGATAAAGATGGACGTCGCCTCCGTGACGTCACCCTCAGGTTTCTGAAGCTTAGAGTGAGCTGCTCCCCCGTCACCATCTTGGCAGTGTCTGACTCCGCCCCCTAACTCCCAGCTAATCCCAATTTGCCGGTTCTTCATGTTTCAGCCTCGGAGGTTGATGCTTGTGTAAAACCAGACCACGCTTCTCTCTTTAAATAAATATCACTCTTTAACGGACATTAAAAAGTCAGCTTACCGACCTTTACACTTAACTTATATAGGCCTAGTTTAATAGCACAAATATACATAGTGTATATACAGCCTCTGTCCTTAGACCCTCGGTTCATGTCCACATAACCACAGAGGAGGGATCCCTCTTCCAGGACGAGAGAGTCAACAGATAATCAGGACGACTAAATCACTAACAGATTGTAAACATAGTGCGAATATTGGTTCATTAACATGATATCAGCACAATGAAAAACCCATTTACTGCTCTTGTAATAGCGACTGTTAGAGGCTGCGATGGGACCTACATATCACGGTAACCATGGAAACATGTATAGTCAGAGTTTGACAATAAAACATTTCAAACTCTAGAAAAAGGCTGGAATGTGAAGTTTCTGTCAAAGTACAGTTTCCATGTGAATGAACTGTGTAGTTTTTCATCTACACACACACACACACACACACACACACACACACACACACACACACACACCTCGTCCTCCTCTAACAGCCGTGTCTCGTCCTACACGTCATGCTGTGTTAGTCCACAGTTTGATCAAGTGGAACCGGACAGCAGGCGTGTTATTATCCAAACCAATCAATCAGTCCGATCCCCTGCTTAACGAACCACACACACACAGACACGCACACACACACGCACACACAAAATGAGTTAACAAAGGTCATGTAAAGAGGCGTGTGTATGACGTGTTAGTGCGTGTGTGTGAATGGCTGCAGGGGGGTGGGGGCATGTCAGACCTGGCAACACACCCACGCACGCACGCCCGCGCACACACGCACACACACACACACACACACGCACACACACACACAAGCCTGTTTTATGTTTGCCATTAATAGGTTTTATAAGTTTCACTCTTCTAATCGAACGTTATAAAGTCTGTCGTCTTTAATGGTCAGTGTTTGTTCACACAGTCTCTTTTTAAACAGGAGCTTTTCCATCAGTGACAGACTGCAGCAAGAGAAATCAATGGTGTGACTCAGAGGTTTGTGGGACAGTTACAGCAGCTGAATCATAAGAATTAATAGATCAGTGTCAGATTATCAACCTACAGTTTAATCTAGAGCTGCACAGCTGAGCTTCAGGCCTCTGTCCACCAGACTCCATTCACAGTCACATCGTTTACTTTACATTACATTTACAAATGATGTTTTTAGCACTTAACACCTACAACTACCTTCTAGTCTTTGCAACCAACTCTTCACCAGACACAATGATGGAAGTCGCATCGTTCTACTCTGAGACTTTTAGTTCCTGGAGCTCACTTGACTCGGCTCTTTCTTCTTTTATAACTTGTGCACTTTGTTGTTGTGTTTCTCTCTCACATCCATCCCCTCTGTAAATCACTGTGTAACTTAGCCTGCTTCCTTCTCACTCTCTGTTTTGGTTGAAATGTTGTATTATAACCCTTTTTCCACTAAAATTTGCTGATTGATCCCTTTTCCATTGCCGACACAAGCCCGATGTCAGCAGTGTTTTTCAGCTGTGGAAAATGAGCTTTGGCGACTGAGCGACACGTTGGGCCTCTGTCTGTTTGCTGACGACAGCGTCTTTTACATCTCATGTCGACATAAATGTAGATAGATACTGTAATGTTGGTGGATGACCTTTTAAATCTGACCTCAGAGTTCAGTCTTGATGAACACGGATGATGGTGTTTGATTGTGATGACTGACAGAAGACACAGCCAATCAGAGGCCTGCGTGAGGAGTCATCAAACAGAAACTTATTTCAGTTTTCTTTGAAGTAAATTTCTCTTTTCTCTCTCCCCTCCCCCTTTTTCCTTACCTCCTTCTTTCTCCTCCTTGCTTCCTCCTCTTCCTCCCTCCGTCAGTCTCTGTGTTGCAGACGGTGCTGGTCAGTGCTGGTCAATGTGACTCGGTGTTTAAAGGTTTCTCAGACTGTCTGCTTCAGCTGGGGGAGAACATGGCCAACTATCCCCAGGACCTGGACGACAGGGAGAACCTGCACAAGATCTGCACGTACGTTCACACACCTGATGATGCAACACGTCAGAGACGGCGTTAGCATTAGGACAGAGTTCGATCAACACTTAGCACTTTAGCTTGAACAGGTGTTCATGATATTTTGTCCACCTCAATAACTGTAAATAAAGATGGACGCCGCATCTCCACCTCCTCCATCTGTACAAAAATGAAGCCAAAATACGAGCGCCGCCATCTTGACCTGGTGACGTCATTTGGCGCCAGAGTCTGTGCAGTAGAAACATCTTAACATTTTCCCCAATTGAATAAATACTTTCTACTTTTTCCAAAAACTGATTGAATCTAATCACAGCTACTTTCTTCATGAAGTAATGAAATCCAGAGCCTCAGTTACAAACATAAACACAACAAACACAATGAGACGCTGTTGGGAGTCAGGAACTACATCATGCTCACTCTCCTCTGATCTCTATTCTTCTATTATTTTCTATTTTCTGAAATGACAGTGAAGCTCTCTCGACTCTCAACAGGAAATAATATGAGTGATTTAAGCACAGACCCTGAGGGGGAAACTCCGGTGGGGTTTGGGGGGGGTGGGGGTGCAGTAGGGGAGCGTGCATATGTGCAAGGCGGGGGTCCAAACTAGCCAGCTGACCCCCACCTCCCCTTTTTTATCCCCCACGTTCATCCCACCATCCAAACCGGGTGGGCACCAGATGGCACACTGCAGCAAGGAGCCCCCACCCTCACACACACACACACACACACACACACACACACACACACACACACACACGATTTTTTAATTCAGTGACAGCTCCATCACAGCCGTGTTGAGGCGTGGCAGGAGGGGTGTGTTAATACTCTGCGCGCACACACGCACACACACACACACACACACACACACACACACACACACACACACACACACACACACACACACACACACACACACACACGTTAATTGCTCAGAGATGTAGCATCGACACGACTCAGTTCAGGAGGTCAACATCAATAAGAGCAGATTGGAAGATTGGATTAGATACGCGTGTGTGTGTGTGTGTGTGTGTGTGTGTGTGTGTGTGTGTGTGTGTGTGTGTGTGTTGCAGCACGTGTCAGTGAGCAGGCTGGTGTCGTCTTTACATTAACTGGAAGAAGGGAGAAAAAAAACAGATAGATGGATGAGAGGTGGTGAAGAGTCTGATCCAAAAAGACAAAGAATAAAGAGGAAAAATAAAATAGAAAATAGAAAATATAAATAGAAATGGGGAAAAAGAGGAGGAGAACAGGAAGGAAAAATGAGGGCAAAGAGGAAGTAATAGAGGAAGAGGAAAAGGAAAAGAAAAAGTGAGAATAGAGGATGATGCTTCAGTATAAATAAAACATGAAACTCTCAAAGAAAAGAGGGGGAGGGAAGGATGAAGGGAAGAAGGGAAAGGGGGAAGGATGGAGGGTGGGGGTTTACAATTTGTAGAAGAAATGATTTTATTTCATAATATTAGAACCAAATCATTCTTAATTTATTTCTAATGTTAACGAGTGTAATCTGGTCACCTGCCGCTCCTCGGAGAACTCCCCATCTTTAAAATCTAGAAATCTGGGTGTTTATTGGATTTTCTCACAGAATAAAATAAAACTTCCATTCTTAATTGAATCGCCTGAGCTTTCATTTTTAAAAGCGTTCCTTAATAGAATCGATTTAATTTGTTTTAGAAAAGGCAGCAGCACTAAAGGCCTGACTCAGACCTGCTGAGTTTTGACTCACTTGAGGCTGAAAGTCTCTGTAAGTGTAAAAATATCTCCCTGCTCCTGGAAGAAACAGCGTGGTTACATGTTTGGAGGCTACGCACTTGCTTTAGTTTAGTTTTCCTCGTCAGCTGTGTTGTTATTGTCCTCGCTTTGTTTTCTGTTGAGCCACATTCTGGGATGACTTCCACTCTTGGCTCTTCCTCCTCAGTAGCTGAGCAGCATCCAGTTTGAAACCAGCCTCCCACTGCAGTCATGAGCTTGTGGTGTTAACGCTTGCTGTGTTTTCTCCTGCCAGTTACTGGGATAACTTCCACTCCTGTGCCACGACGGCGCTGGCCGACTGCCAGGAGGGAGCGACGGACCTCTGGGAGAAACTGAAAAAGGAGTCCCGCAACCTGGATTTCCGTGGGAGTTTGTTTGAACTCTGTGGCGGCGGCAACGGAGCCCCCAGATCTGCCGACGCCAGGGGCCTCGCGTTGGTCCTAACCACACTGCCCACCATACTGACTTGGCTGGCGTTTTAACAGATACGAGGAAAAAATAAAAACACAAAGCGAAAAGAAGAAGAAGAAGAAAAAAAAAAAAGGAAAAACCCAAATGAAAAAAAGAAAATAGAAAAAGAGTGATAGCTACTCTTCGATACAGAAATTACGACTTCTAGGACTGCGTTTGACTTCATCACCAGAAAACTACACCCAAAATGGAGTTTTTACTACGACATCACTGTACGGCGGCCGGGTTTGCCTTCCTGGGACATCTGCAGGCCGTCCTCCTGGAGCGCTCATCCAATCACACGCTGACCTGACCCAGAGGTCGATGACATGAAATATTCAACATGCCGTCGAGCTGAAATGATGACAAAGATGAAAATTTGATGGATTCTTGCCCGCTTACAAACGTGGAATTACACAGTATTAAAGTCAACCATGAATTATTGATGTTTAGTAGGCTAGGCCTAGACAGCACTATGTGACTGTTGGGTGCTGACACAGTATCAGGCTATATATTAGGGTTCCCATGTAGCCTAAAGGCACATCTTCATGTGTAACGCGAGGCTGAGCTTAACTCCACAAAATCAATAAGACAAGCCGAGGCCTCGAGCCCATTTCAGACCGCTCACCTCATTTCCATCACGGACAGTTTTTCCTTTTTTATTGCGCCAAGTTGACTCTGTTGAGCCCGGTGGGTTTGATGGACTGAATGCTTGATGGTGATGTAATATTTGTATTCTTATTGGCTGTTTATTGTGCTCAGGCCACGGTCACACCAGCTTTTGTTTATCAAGTTGAATTCATTTGAATGGAGTCGTCTTAATCGGTGGTGAAGTCAGTTTTTGCACAATGTTCTCCTGTACAGTCTCAACTCTTACAGGTAAATCTGTGGCATTGACTAAAAGCAAAACTGCAGTATTGTCTTTGACCCATGCAGCATGGCTTGCAGTCAATCGTGAGCCTGCAGTAGGTGTGTTTTTACATTTATAGTGTTTTCCTTTTGGTTGTTGAGTTGGCTAGCACTTACAGAATCAACACCACCTCTGCCAGTTTCTGGTGTGACCGTAGCCTAATTCTTCCCCACCAAGCTCTGAGGTGCAGGGATATAGTCGAGAGTATTTAAAGCCTGCTTTTCTTTAAAGACCAGTTTAGACTGATGTTAACCTGCATGAAGTCAGTTCAGACCGTCTCAAAACATTTCAGGAGATGAGCACAAACTCTGAAATGTTGATCATTGCTGTCGACAGAAAAGAGTATGGAACAACAGCTGTGACAGTTTTCCACTTATGAGTTGTTCGCTAATGGTTTCCACCCACTCAAAAGCAACTTTAATTCAGTTGCTCCTACTGTTTAGCACTAGCTTGTGTAAGGCTAGCTAACATTTTGATTTAGTAAGTAAAACAAATTGAGGCAAGGCAGCTAAATTCAGTTTAGCAAGTTGAGTGGTTAGCTAACAGTTTGGCTTAGAGGCCTAAACAAATTGATGAAGGCTAGTTAATGGCCTGAGTTAGTGGCTAAAATATATCATGTGAAGTTAGCTAACAGTTGAGATAAGTTAGCTAACAGTTGAGATTTCATGGCTAAACCAGAGGTCAGTTAATAATTGTTCAATTAAGCAGTTAAAACCAAATGAGTCAGATTAGCTAATGTGTTTATTAACAAATTGATGAATGCTAGCGAAGTTTGAGTTAGCCGCTAAGACATCTTTGAAATTTAAATTTAACAGCTAGAACAGATTGTGATATGTCAGCTAACAGTTCAGTGTAGTGACTGGAAGAGATGGAGTGGCTAAACTACAATGCGACAGTTTATAATTAAGCAGTTAAAACAGATTGTGTCCATTTAGTTAACAGGTTAGTTAAGCATCTAAAAGAGATAGTTTCAGGTTAGCTAACAGTTCACTTTAGCAGCTAAACCACATTGATGAAGATTAGCCAATGCTTCAGTTAAGCGGCTAATCAGGTTGATGAAGGCTAGTTAATAGTTCAGAGTTTTAGCTAAAACAGACTGACTGTGGTTAGCTAATACTTCACTTAATATATTGAATCAGGTTAGCTTATAGTTTAATTTAGCAGCTAAACCAGACTAGCTAACAGTTCAGTTTAAGAGATTGAAGCAGGTTAACAATTAAGTTTAGAGGCTAAAACAGACGACGTTTTCGTTATTAGCTAAATGGGATTGTGTCATGTTAGCTACGCATTTGGTTTAGCAGCTAAAACATATTAACCATATTAGGTCAGTTAAAACAGAAGCTAACAAGTGGCAACAGCAGCTAAACCAGACTAGCTAAAAGGTCAGTTTAGTAGTTAAAAGCTATCAGGTTAGCATGCTGCAACATTTGCAAAGAGTTTAGCATAACATCTTGATCCTGGATTAAATAAACAAAACTTAAATATATTTTATGAGGTAAACATGAGAACATGTCTTCAGACGTTGTGCTCATTTCCTGAATCCCTTGAGTTCAAAGTGTAAGTGGCTGTAGGACACAACCGACCGATGGAAAACTCGTACGGATGATTTCAACGTAAAAGAAGAAGAAGCACATTAGATTGAACTGTATTCATGTCGGTGGTCGATTTCCCGCCATTGTCCTGTCCTGCCACATCCCTGCTCGGCAGAACCATGTGTTAGAAACGAATGAGTCTGTGAGCAAAAGAAATAGTTGCTGAAAAAAGGAAAGAAAGAGATAGAAATTAGATTTTTTTTGCAAAGCTGACAGCAATACGAAGTAATGACTTCATGGCCAGTGTAGCTAAAAGAAAAAAAAAAAAATCAAACCGTGGCTGAAGAGCGATAAGACTGTTGCCATTTAGCACATCCCCCCTTTTCATATGCCAGTGATTCATACTAGACGACCTTAGAGGTGATATACAGTATTTTAGGTCTGTATGTTAGATTAAAAAGCCGAGTCCCAACAGTACAGTAGCATCATAAACTACATAAATACAGTAAATAAATTTGAGGAGGTTGTTGATTTCTTTGCTGAGGCGCAGACGTTTCCACTGCCTTCTGACAAAAAGATATGTACTTCTGTTTGTTTGTTGGTTTGTCTCTTTGTTTGTTTATGGGGATGTTGCGTAACAAAAAGAGTTTAAAAAAAAAAAAAAAGGACTTATTCCAAAAGTTATCTAACAAGAGAATATGTATATCAAAGAGGATTTTGAGAAAATAAAAATAAAAAAGCTCTATTATAGATAGTCTATCCCAGACAGTTTTAACACAAGATTGATACTTTACAAATTATAGGCCTACTGAGATATAAAACATAAAAGATTGCTAAAATGATAAAGAGTAAATAAATAAAATGACTAATGTTTGAAAAGAAGTGTGTGCTGTCGTTTTGATGAGGGGATAAAATCCTGGTTTTATATATTGAGTTTGGTTTGTTGCATTCAAGATGATGGACTCTTATTACACACACACACACACACACACACACACACACACACACACACACAGAGTGGGGTTTGGAGTGTATTCATTATTAATGAGGGAGAGTCCCTGAGCTGCCACACGTCTCAGCACTCATATTGATCGAGACGAGGAGGAGGAGGAGGAGGAGGAGGAGGGGATAGGTTGACTGTCCTCATGTAGAAGATGTTTGTTCAGTCTAACATGGATAATCCACGCTGCCAAGACCTTTAACCTGATCTGGATTTGATCTTAAATTGACCAATCACTCAATTGGACTACAACCAAAATCTTTTCCTGCTGCAGGAGGAAACATTCACCCAGATATTCCTTTAATATTCCTGCTGATGTTAAAGAGTATTTTGTGTTTTATAGTCATTTAAAGATCTATTTTCTCTGCTGCAGGGGAAATATTTATAAAAAGTGATCCATGGGAAGAAAGCCGTCTGATAAACGAGGTATATTTCTGTGATGCAGCTGCGTCTGAGCCTCTGCGAAGGTTGATTTTACAGTTTTTCTGTCTTGTGGTATTTTAATGACTCCAGTATTTCCATAATCCTCCTGGAAGGATGAAAGCAAATCTTCTCTCCACGCTGCAGGATGAAATATTCAACAACAGCGCAAAAGGTGGATATTTTAGGGATCAATGACGGAGAGAAAGGAGGTGATTCCAAATCACACAATTTTCCCTCTGCTTCTGTTTTTACCTTGATTTGACTTTTTTTTGTCTTCCAGTGTTTTTAATAAGTCAGTTATCCCATAATCCCCCTAAAGGATGAAAGACGCCTCCTTTTTTCAGTCTGGGGGAGGAAATGTTGAAACGAACATAATAATAATTTATAATAGAGAAAAGGTGGATGTGAAGTTTATGATCCTTGAGGCTGGTTTCATCCAGAGTTTTTAAGGTTTTATCTTTAACATCCCATAATCCTGTTGAGGGGAAGGAAGCAGTAAAAGATGTTTATAGTTTATGGTGAGCTGATTTTAACCAGATTCCTTCTGTTTTATGGTATTTTGATTACACCAGTATTCCCATAATCTCCCAGTGATATTAAAAATAATAATAAACATAATAAAACAGTGAAAAACATGGATATTATGGGGATCTAATAAGACTCCTGTGGAAAAGATGGCAGTTCTCTGGGTCGATTTGTTGTCTTTTATTACATTTTAAAAAGTCCAATATCCCAAAATAATAACGTAAGGATGAACGCAGAGCCTGTTTCCAGGCTGCAGGAGGATAAACTAAATATTGGCTAATAACGGTGAAAGGCTGAATTTTATAGGAAGGTAAATTTTCTATTATATTTTTTAATAATTCTGTGGAGAGGTTTGTAGTGCTCCAGGCTGACTTTATTCACACTTACTTTGTGTTTTATGGTATTTCAATGACACTAATATCCCAGAATCCTCCAGTAAGGATCCAGCTCTCACGCTGCACAAAATATTGAGTAAAAAAAGGAATAAAACGGTGAAGACGTGGGAGATTCATGGGATTTATGGGAGAAATCTATCACTACTGTGATTGCAACTGGAATATTTCTGTGATATTTCCACAGTATTTTAATGGAGAAGTGTATGTTTGATTTTATTCAGACTATTTTTTTTTTTTATGGGTTTTTTTTATGCCAGAAATGAAACCAGATCTAGATTTTATGCTGCAGGAGCCAATTTCAAACCAAATATAGACGAATTGTAGGCCACAGTTTTTTTGTGTTTTATGGTATTTTAACAGCACATTATTTTTAAAGTGACCTCATATTATTGAAAAGTCCTTTTACAGGATTATAATGTGTCCATTCATAAGGTCATTTTATAGGTTTATAGTGCTTTTATTAGGCTATGTCTTTTTTAAAATCCAGGAACAGTTCTTATAATTCTGCAGGGATTTACCTGTCACGTTATGTGAGGTGTAGTTTATTATATTCCCTGTAATATTGTTGGAATATTTCCACATCTGATAAAAACTTCTTTTTTTGTATTTTTAAAGCTTTTCTTTTGCTTGTGAACAACCTCCCAGGAACAGACCGTGAAGGCCTCAGTGCCCCGTGTTGTCCGAGCAGTAGATTTTCATGAATATTATCGCGGTGTCGTTTCCTTAAGGTTTAATGAAGCTCGTGCAGATTTTGGTCCGAGCCGCAGTTTGCGTGCTGCGGGCTCCCGAGGGGAATCGACGCGTGCACGGCGCGTTTCTCCTGCATTAATATGGATGTGATGTGATGTGAAGTGAGGCGGGAACAGGCTGCTGTCTGAGGACCAGGCTCCTCACAGCGAAATAAAAGACGTATAGGAAACAGAGAGGGAAGCGTTTAGTCCCGTTTACCGTCAACGGAAGATCCTGCAGACATGAAGGAAAAAAGCCTGACACCGGATGTTTGGAATAAATATTATATTTTAGAGAAATTCCATTAACATCTCAAATAACACGGTGTTTTTATGGGATGAAATTGTCCTTATAAAAACCTATAAAGTGCCAGATTACAGCACCAAAATATAAGTATAAGAAGGCTGTTGGGAGAATATTTTATGCCGCAATAGAAAATAAAAACTAAATACACAAACGACACTGATTGATATTTAAGGAGTGAAGGTATTTTTCTGGGACGCTCATTTTAAATTCTCAAAAATGTCATTTTTTACATTTAATTTCAAACAGATAAATTACAAATAATTTAACAAAAGAGGAAAAATAAAGTATGAAGTGATTTTTGTCTTTTTTACAATTTAGAATAAGAATATTTTGATAAAGCAGAAGAAGAAGAAGAAGGTGAGATGGAATAATTCCTGGAAAATGAAAAAAATTAAAAATCCTGAGAGGCAATTATCGCCTGTAGGAAGAAACAAGAGCAGGCGAGATTTCAGGCGAGCTGCTCATTAAAAACGGATGGAGGGAAGCCTGAGAGATGGAGGAATTCCCGCGGGATTTGGAGAGTCTTCCTACGAGTCTAACCCCGTTTTTTAAATTCATTCAGTCTGTCAGCATCTACCACTAAAACAGCATCATGAACAGGAAGAACGAGACTTACCCTGCTTCATTTGTTCATGTAGTTTCAGTCAGATCGGAGTTAAACACGTGGTCTGGTTCAGTGGGGGTCAAAGTGAGGGTCGTGGACCAGCAGGGGTCCAGAGGTTTTATTTTTGTTTCATCAGATAAATGTGGATTTTTGCAGAGTCAGACAACTGGATTAATATTTACTTGCTATTTAAAAAAAGAGCTTTTATATCCAGAGCTCTTTGCATAAGACTACACTACCCAGAAGCCCCATCCACTGGCTACCAATCAGTGATGTCACTGTTAAAACTGTAATGTTTCATGTAATGTAATCATTAGAGGAAGTTCTTTATCATAAATGTTTTTGTAAAAATGAATTTAGGAACTCTCTTCTTCTCTGAACACACAGACATGAAACACATGTATTTAGATTCAGTGTCACATACACTTGCTGAGGATATCATTATGATCTGATCTCATCAAACATAAACAGCCTGTACACAGTTGTACACGTTACCCTAGCAACATTAAGGCTAATGACGACCCGTAATACCTGATGTTTTCTAGCACTTCATAGTGAAAAGTTGCTGAGACGACCAGGAAAAAAAACAAAAGCAAAACAAGTTTTACAAACATTTCCTCCAGAAAAATAATCAAATACTGTCAAGAACGTGTGATGATGAAACATAAAACAGGAAGAAAGTGAAACCTCCGGCTGAAACACGGGCGACACAGAAAAATGGATTTCGAATAAAAAGAAATATGATTAAGACGAGAAACACATCAGTCAGCCGAAATGTACCAGCTGCCCAGAGCGCTGCTGAATATCTCTGAATTATTGGATTCAGACAGCGGTGTGTGTGTGTGTGTGTGTGTGTGTGTGTGTGTGTGTGTGTGTGTGTGTGTGTGTGTGTTGGTGGGGGGGTGTCAGACGGGAAATGTGCCAAAACCCCAGAGAGGTGTCACTCATATTTTTCCCATTCACACATGTGATGAGGCAGCAGTCACGTCATCCTCACACCCCGACAGTCCTGTTTCACTGAAAACCTTAAAATACCTCGAAAGCTCAGGAAGCCGACAAACACAGGAAACACTCACATGTAACGTCACTGATAAACAACCGAAGCTCACTGTTCAATAATATGGTGAAAAGAAGAAACGAATGAAGCCAAATCATCCTCTCCACAAACATCCAGACGGTGTTTCATGTAACAGGAGCCACAATGTGTTAAAGCAGAGCTGGAAGCAAATGGACAAGAATTCACAAGAGAAGAAGAAGTCTGTGCTCGTCCTCACACTTTACGACCCAACATCACGTGACAAGAGGAAAATAAGAAGAAGAAGAGAAGTTAAGATATCAGCTGATTCCACAGGTGTAGGTCACCTCCTCGTGGTCGTATCCCTCCGCCACTCAGACTAGTTCCAGGTTACGTCCCTGTCGACCCAGAGTCAGAGAAAATATTAAACATTCGTGTGAAAGTTTGAGCAATGGCTAAAAAGTGTCTCCTGAGGTCACCGTGACCTTTGACCTTTCACCACCAAAATCTAAACAGTTCATCCTTGAGTCCTGGTGAACGTTTTTATCAAATTTGAGGAAGTTCTGTCGAGATGTTACTGAGATCTCATGTCTACGAGAACGAGATAGACGGGCAGACAACCTGAAAACAAAATGGCGGCTCTGATTGTCGCCGGCGTGGAGGAATAAAAATGATCGAATAAAAGGAGAATACTTTGTAAAATGTTGGGGGGGGGCTCTGCAGCACAGGCCAGTGTGTGTGTTGCCTGAGAGACGAAATCCAGGGCAAAACAACCTGAAAATCAGCAGCTACTGGTGGTAAAGATGAAATAATACGAGCACACGCTGACACCTGAAGCTCCTCCCCTCAGCTCTGATCATGGCTGCCGCTCACATTCAGCTCATT